ACCCAGGAGGCAGAGGTTGCAGTGAACTGAGATCATGCCATCCAGCCAAGGAAAAAAGGGAAAACCCCTCAAAAAAAAAAAAAAAAAAAAAGAGTTCAGTGAGCTGGGCAGGGGTTAGATCATGAAAATGTGTTACAGGCCAGAGTAGAGTAACTTGGATTTTAATCGCAATGGGGATCCTAGAAGAGCTTTAAAAAGAAAGCAATCTAATACTTTGGTGACTTGCAAGAAAATATAGAGAGGCGAATACACAACCACTGAGTGTGCTATTATGACATTCTTATATAACATTCTTATAACATTCTTAAAATGAGATTACAGAAATGAAGAACAGATCACTGATTTCTAAAGTGGGGGTGAGGTGGGGGAGGGTGGCTATAAAATGGCAATTCCAGAATGGGTGGCAATGGAACTGTTCTGTATCAATATATTCAATATATTAATACCATGTTGTGGTAGTGTACTATAGTTTTGTAAGTTGTAACCATTGTGGGGAAGGGTAAATTCTACACAGGATTTCCCTGCTTTTTTTTTTTTTTTTTGAGGCGGATTTTCACTCATAATAGAGACAGAATCTTGCTATGTTACCCAGGCTGGTCTTGAACTCCTGGGCTCAAGTGATCCTCCCAAAGTGCTGGGATTATAGGCATGAGCCACTGCACCTGGTTTCCCTGTATTATTTGTTACAACTGTATGTGAACCTATAATTATAACAAAACTAAAGCTTAAAAACCTAAAATACTTTCAGAAATCAAAACAGGCACATGTGGAAAGAGGGGTAGTAAGTTATTTCTAATAGCAAAACTTAATTTATTTTTATTTTTATTTTTTTGAAACAGAGTCTTGCTCTGTTACCCAGGCTGGAGTGCAGCTGCCCAATCACTGCTCACTGCAGCCTCAACATCCTCCCAGGCTCAAATGACCCTTCTCATCTCAGCCTCCTGGTACTACAGGTGTGTGCCACTATGCTGGGTTAATTTTTATACTTTTTGTAGAAATGGGGTTTCAACATGTTGCCTGGGCTGCTCTGGAACTCCTGGGCTCAAGCGATACACCTGCCTCTTAAAGTGCTGGGATTACAGATGTGAGCCACTACACCCAGCCTCTAATAGCAAAACTTTTCACTAGCTTATTATTAATTTGTAGGAAAATAAACAAAAAACATAACACCTACTCAATGAATTATTAGGAATTTAAAAAAAATTATTATAGGCCATGCACAATGGCTCATGCCTGTAATTCCAGCACTTTGGGAGGCTGCGGCAAGCGGATCACAAGGTCAGGAGATTCAAGACCATCCTGGCTAACACAGTGAAACCCCATCTCTACTAAAAATACAGAAGATTAGCCAGGCGTGGTGGCACGCACCTGTAGTCCCAGCTACTGGGGAGGCTAACGCAGAAGAATCGCTTGAACCTGGGAGGCGGAGGTTGCAAGGAGCCAAGATCCTGCCAGTGCACTCCAGCCTGGGCAAGACTCCGCTTCAAAAAAGAAAAAAAAAATGATTATAAACACTATATAGCAATCCAGAATATTAGACTATAATTCTAAGTTTTAAAAATATACAAATTTTTTACTGGTAGAATTAGACATATCTAAATAAACAGTAAAAATACTTCTTTTTCTTTTTCTTTTTTTTTTTTTTGAGACAGAGTTTCGCTCGTCACCCAGGCTGGAGTGCAATGGTGCAATCTCAGCTCACCGCAACCTCCGCCTCCTGGGTTCAGGCAATTCTCCTGCCTCAGCCTCCTGAGTAGCTGGGATTACAGGCACGCGCCACCATGCCCAGCTAATTTTTTTTTTTTGTAGTTTTAGTAGAGACGGGGTTTCACCATGTTGACCAGGATGGTCTCAATCTGTTGACCTCGTGATCCACCCGCCTCGGCCTCCCAAAGTGCTGGGATTACAGGCGTGAGCCACCGTGCCCGGC